GGACCATTTTACGTGTTTACATTTTCCATTGGCGTGAGGTTTTTTTCTCAAATTGATTCAGCGTGGTAGTTAAAAGACCTGATCTCAAATCCTGACTTTACCACTTACTACCTATGTGTTTCTCAGCCTTCTTTTCTTTATCTATAAAATGAGAAAAATGTACCTATGAGAATGTATGTAAATAAAGCACATAACTTAATATCTGGCACAGGAAAAGTATTCGAATATACATTAATAAACAGCTTCAAGTTCTTATACAAAACTGAAAAGGAATTTATTGTAAAATCAGGAGAGAAAGACTACAGGTCTTAGAAAGAGAGATCTAAGTAATTGGAATTTGCCCCTTTGATTCCTGGGAATCAGTGATTCTTTGATTATGTACACAGAGAATGAAAAGTGTAACTCGGGTTTTAGTGAAAAAATAAACCTAAGTTTGGTCCAAAAACTCATAATAACCCAGTTAACAACTGATACAATATTCATAGAACAAACAATAAGAGAATTCCAGTTTAGCAAAACTCCCAGCAATTGTTACCAGTGCCCAGATACTCAGCTTTGGGGGGAATGGAGACAAATTCTTCAAAATGGCTGTGCGATGCTAACACTATTAGTTGTTTTATATAATGATAATCATAAAGCAGATTTTATAAATCATAAAATAGATCATAATAGAAAGAAAAACTCTGATTTTAGCTATAATATACCAATTTTCCCCTCTCCAAAGAAAGCATTCTAAAATTGTAGCCTGTTTGAATAAGTAGATTAGAAACATTATTAAAAATTATGCTGGGAACCCATATAGATTTTATCCAAGTTAACAATGTATTTAAATATCTATGAAAATCCTTTGAGATAAAATTCACTATAAAATCAAAATAATTTCATCAAAGTCATAGTGGGCATATCTAAACACTGCACAGGTCTAAGTGTGACACTGATACTGCAAAGAAGAAATTAAGGTGAAAAGATGAGCTAAATATCTTATTACATTGTCCACGAGGTAGCTCAGCCTTTTAACATCTTTAGAGATCATGTTTTCAAAAGTCTTGTTTCTCTAAATTATCTTCATATGACCCTGACCCATTATCAGTTATAAAAATAAATTTAAACCCTTTTCACTCTTTTGTATAAAAATAATCTCAGACTTAGAGAAAAGTTGTAAGAAAAGTTGTAAGAACAAGATTTTTCCTGACTCATTTACTGTCATTATGTCCCATAAGCCCCAAATAGTCTATTAGCTATAAATAATATTATCCTAAATAATCCCAATTTAACAATGAAAGCTTTAAAATTAACAGTGATGTACTACTACCACATAACCCTCAGATCCCATTCAAGTTTCACCAACTGTGCCATAAATGTCCTTTAGCGCAAAAAGATCCAGTTCAGGATCACACATTGTAATTTTTCCCCCATGTTCTTTAGTCTCCTTCAACCTGGAATAGTTCCTTAGTCTTTCCTTGTCTCTCATGATCTTGATACATGTAAAGGTTACATGCTAGTTATTGTGTCCACTGGATCTTAACTTAGGTTTGTCTGCTGTATCGTTATGAGAACTTAGTTACACAACTTGCCCACATGTGATGCTGGGTTCTCGCTGCATTCTGTCAGGTAGCACACAAGTCTGATTTGGTCATTACTTAGACCGACGGATTAATGTGGTTATTGCCAGGCTTCTCCACTGTAAAGTGTTCCCCTTGTTTTTCTGTGTGGAGATACTCTGTGATTATACAAACATTCCATTCCTCATCACTGATTTTATTCATTTATTTATATACTTATCAATCTATGAATTTCTTTTACTCAGTGGGTTACAATTTATAATTGTCATTAGTTTGAAGCCAAAAGTGTCCTGGTTTGGGCCAGCTGGAGACTCTTCAAGCTGGCTCTGTATTCCGCTGACGTGTCCCCATCATCCTTCAAGTACTTCCACACTTTCTACATCTTAAGATGCCTCAGGTTCATCCTGGCCTTTCCCTGCTCCAGCTATAGGATCTGCCACATCTCTAAAGAGTTCTGCTTCCTATGTGACTCCTTTTCCCATGAGCCTCCTGCGACCACAAGCGGTGGGCTCGACTCTCATTTCTGGGACCTTCCTAACTCTATCTAGCTTCACGGTTTCCTTTCATTAGTGAGCATGGGAGATCTTCTCCAGAATATGAGAGAATGCTAAAGGATGATCAGTTGGTGAAGCTCCAAAGTACAGTGGTGAAGTGATTTAAAATCAGGCAAATTTAAGACTAGCAACAGGTATGATGCATCAAACTTTACCAATCTCTACAATAGTCTACCCTGTACTATTTTAGAATTATAGCAAAACTCTCTTGACTGCCTCTCTTTTCTAAATTCCATTAACTAACACACTATGTTCTAACTGAATATGCTACACTAGCGTATTCTGTATGATACAGTAGTAACTGTTAAACTTTGAAAGTTTTCTGGCTGAAAAGTATCCATGACCATATTCCCAAGTGTTAGACTGAAGAAAACCGGTAAGGAAAGGTACTCTCAAGATTGTTTTTAACTCATGGACAAAGTCACGGCTCATCTCCCTTAGTGTGACTGATGGATGAAGCTGAGTCACTGGTGGAACATTCGCTTCCAAGGACATTATCTGGTACATTAACGCGACCATAATTTTATATGTATAAAAGTAGTAAATCACATCAAGGGAGCCATATGAGTCCTTTCTCAGGAAAACCAGTAGGAGACCTGGCCCGACAGTGCACAAATATGTGTTAGTAATGCATTTTCTTTAATCAGATTGGGAATGCAAAGTGATGGGATTGTGCATGAGGCTCTATTATAAAACATAAGAAAAGACACATCGTTTTTTTAACCCCTTGAAAAGGTATATACTGGTAAAATACACTGAAGTACTTCACTGTCTGATAACTATGTCCTGAGGGATACAAAGGAAATACATTTGTATACATTGTGACACTGACATACCTCATAACAGTGCTAATTTAGCATAAAATTATGAAGCAGGCCTTCCAAATGTTTTTGAACTAATTCTCCTAACAACCCTATGCAATAACTATTAGAGTGATGTTTTTACAAACAAAGAAGCAATGGCTCTGCGAGATACCTTGCCTAAGATAACACAGCAACTAAACAGCAGTTCCGAGTTAAACATAGATCTTCTGTAAGTTAATACAAAGTGAATTATGTTGACAAAGTGACATGAAAAAAACTAAAAAGCAACAGAAAATGGAAATAAAAGTTAAAATGGGATGTGTTTCAAAAAAGATTAAAGAACAGAAGGAAAAACAGAAAGAAATGAGGAGCTCAGGTAACTAGAGCAAAATGAAGAGAGAATAAGATGACAAGCGACGGAGGACAGCACGCTTCTTAGACACAGGGTATAAAATAGGAAAACTGCCTACTCACTCAAATTCTCTAGTGATTGTATTGTAGTGATATAAATTCAGCTTAGAAACTGTTTTCAGATTTGAAAAGCTTCTGCCTGCTCAGCATCTGCTTTCTTTTAGACATCAGAAATATGAGAAAACTCACCAGATAGTAAACTTAAGTGTACACTGCAAGGAAAAATACTGTATTTCATGAAGCTGAAATAAGAGAAACCTGTAACGAGGTAAACTCAAACAGAAGCACCAATCCCTGGTATTTTTATTTTCATTTAATAACACTAATGTTTCGCTAACTTCCTTGGGTTTTCAAGAATCTAAGCAAATCTTAATATGCAATCAAAACATCTTAAAGCTAGGAACCTACCAGCATCAGGAAGGAACCAACTATCCCCTCAAAGTCACAAAGCGATTAGTAAGGCCAAGCTGGGTTGGGAGTGGCGGGGACACAAAGGGAGGGGCAGGGAAAGCCATATTGCCTCGCTTAGGTGCCACAGCCTGCCCAGGCTTAAGAGGGCGATCATATGGGGATGGACGTGGTCTGGCCCAGCAGCGGGGAGAGTATCTGCAGGGAGTGCAGGCCGGTGCAGGCTGTTGGAACACAAGTAGGATGAAGAGGTGTCTCCACAAAAGCATGGTCTGGCCTCAGGTGAGGGCGTCCTTGCGTGCGGGGTCGGGGGAAGGAAGAATGAGAAGGGCAAAGGGCAGACGTCTGGCATAAGGGTCAGAGCATGAGCTCAGTCCACAGCACTCAATAAAGAAGGGCAATCTGACAGATGATGTCGGAGCACAGATGAGGCAAAAAAGGTATGAACACAGGCTGAGGCCCTGTGGCGGTGGCCTGGAGTTGGTAACAAGAGCCGGAGCTGGGTGAAAGAATGTTTGTGCAGAACGGAGGGAACAGAGACAGAGACAAGTTTGGTTACATAAAGGGGGTCTGATCAAAATAAGTAAATATATTAGAATATTTGAAGCCAGGTTTCTGTCGTCAGAAAAAGGAATTATAAATATGGAAAAAAAGAAAACTAGAATAAACCTTATATTATTGGATTAAAATGGAAAGTATTGGTGTCAACTTCTGGTTTTCAATATAGACATATACACATGATTAGGAATAAAGATGCAAATACGTGTATATGTTTCTACACATGTACACGCACACACAAAATATTTACTCCTTAGCTCTATCCACTGAGAGAGTTTGGGAAAAGTGAGATTCCAATAACAATCTAGTTCCCAGCTCTTGATTTCTAAATACCATACTCCAAAAAAAAGAAAGCTGGGTCAGGGAAAGCACAAGACGAGCACAGAACATCTTGTTACAGGAAAGGACAACATTAAGACAACAGGGGCCACTTGAATGGGGTCTGAAATTAGATGTAGTAATGTATCAGTGTTAACATCCTGATTTTGATGGTTGCTAGGAGAAAATCCTTGTTCCTAAGAAACACACATTAAAGTACTTGGAAATGAAGGGGCTTCAAGTCAGCAACTTTCACTCAAATACTTCAAGGAAAAGAGTTCTTTGTATATATTTTTCTATAAGTTTGAGTTTGAATGGGTGAACAAATAAGTGGATATGGAGAAGATAAGAAGGCAGTAAGGTGAAAGGCAGAACGAACTACTTACTGAGGTCTTCAGCCAGTTGAACTCGTTTACCAGTAAGCAATTTAACCTTCTTCTCGCCGTCTTCAGCAAAATCTTCTAATACTTCTTTAACATTTTTCTCTAATCGTCTGACTGTTAAAAGTAAATAAAACACGTGAGGAGCTCTGTTTTTATGAATGTACAAGGATGATAAAATTAACAATATATGGAGAGTAAGTTCTTATTTTTCCCATCACATTAGATCTATTAAGTTTAGATTTTTCAGTTATTAGGAGAATCTCTATTGTTATACAGTACTTTTAACAACATAAAACTACTCCCATATTCTCAGAGAAAGTCATATTCTCAAGCCCTAACACATTAACAAAAGAACAGATTTCTCAAAAAAACCTGATACCTAGGAGTCCTTTCCCAACAGTTTTTGGGTAACGAAGGGAGATGCCTGGTATGTTGGGAGCAATGTTTTCAATTATGATTTATTTTCATTACTATTTTTAAGGCAAATAATAATTTCCGGTTTTTGAAATAAATCTATTTTAAAGGAAGTATTTTGGCATCATATTAAAAATGGATGTTCTTACTATTATTTTAGATGCCGAAATTAGAAAGTGGTCCCTCTGTGGCTTACCTTCAGTGTTTGTGAGCTGCTGTCGTAAAGTGTTTGCCGTGATAGCCAGCATGCGCTGTATTCGCCAGAACAGGACGACGTCATTGCATTCCAGCTGAAATAGTAGGTAACTAAGATTACCAGGTGCAGAGTTAAACATAAACTGGATCATAAGCGCAGACAACTACTAAAGTGAGTATCTATGTCTTAAGCTTTAAATAAACATTCAGATTTACCTAACACACATATTCCTATTGCAGGTATAAGTTGCTGAATCTTTTCTGCACAGGCACCATCAAATTCTGCATGACTTGTGTTCTATTTTTCCCACATCTATACTGTTTTGCTCTGATTCCAATGACAAAGCAAATAAACTTAGGAAGTACAGCATTTCGTTACCTTATAATATACAAGTAGAAATATATAGCACATATACCCTCAATTTGTAGTTAGTTTCAACGAACAACCATGTTATCTTAAATATGTCCTTAGGTTAACCTCTTTTCTTTGAGTGTGTACTCAAGAAATTTTTGAAATTCAGCTGTATATGAAAATAAATTAATGATATTTCTTAAAAAGAAGCTTATTCTGTAGAAATCTTCTCAACAATTAAAATTATACAAAAAACTTGCAACTTTTTACTTAGGTACATTTCTTTTAAGTTGCTGAGAATGCAAAAGAAAAGCATGTTAGGGGTCAAGATTGATTAATAGAGCTCTTGCAGAAGGATACATTAAAAAACATTTCTACAAAAGTATAACTATTACACTGTGTTGTACAGCTGAAACTAATTCTAAAAAATGTGTATTTCATAATAAAAAATAATTAAAAGAAAAAAAGGACTAGAAAAACAAAAAACATTTCTACTTGTAAGAAAATGCTCAAAATACATCAGTCTGCTGCCACCTAGAGGTTACTTTGTAAAATGTGATATTAAACTACTGACAACTGTCCCAAGAACTTTACACAGTTCTTCAAAAGAATTATTTAAAGCAAGGTTTTAGTGATATAAAGAAAAAATTACAATACAGGAAAACAGCACAATAAAAAATTGTTTTGCAGTATGATTTCCACTATGCAAATGGATAGTTTATACATACAACTGTGTATAGAAAGAAATGAACAGAAATACATAAAAATGTCAACTAAAATTACTTCTAGGTCAGGGATTATAAGTGACTATTCTCTTTTGTGTGTGTGTGTGCACACACGTGTGCACACACGCACGCACGCACACACACACACACGCACACAACACACCACACACACACACACCACACACATTTATTTATTGAAGTTACTTCCTACAATGGGAATGTATTATTTTCTAACATAAAAAAATTATTTCTTATAAAACAACTTAAAAAGAGGTTAAGTATTTATAGGCACACACAGTCTTATAGGAAGTGGGATAATGTGCATGTAAGTAAGATGCAGATACTACCAAAGTGGTAAATACCTTTGAAAGAAAAGGGTTAGGTTTATTCTTTGTAATTCATGCATACTCTTTCCCAAGAACAAAGGACTTAAAAATTAATGCTAAAGCTAAAGATTACTGTTAAGCATCTAAATAGATATCACTAAAAATTATTTCTCCTTGTTTTTGGAAACCTTACCTCAGAATCTACAAAATGCCTTTGGTAGTAATAAAAGCCTCTTCGACACAGGTTGCAATGGTTTAGAGCTGTTTTTAAGAAATGTCTTCTATAAACTTGGTGCCATGTGTCCTTAATCTTAAATGAAAAAAGATAACAAAGACAAAAGGGTTACTATGCACTCTTCGGGTTGATAAAACACATTCTGAAAAGACCTATGCAAAGCTTATTTATAAAAAAAGTGAATTAAAACCAATGTCAATGTTGTTATGCTATCAACCTTTTTGATCCATTAAAATGTTTTTCAAGTCAAAGATTAGATTTACTATTACGAGTTTATGTACTTCAAAATTTGCAGTGTTTTCAACAAGCATTGTCATTATATTCAGATAATCATCTTGCCGAGTGGACAGGGTATGGGGTTCACTTTCTCTAGTTAGAGATAAGAGTCCAAGGCAAGAAGAGGGTGTGAGCCTTGGACGCTGGCGTTACGCCATGTTCATCAACCCAACATTATTTCCTTTCTGATTATTAAATTTCAGTTACCTCGGTAACAGAACCCCCACCACGTCATTACTATGTAGACTGTTAGTGTTCAAAATTCTTGCACACCATTGTCCTTTTTTGAGCATAACAATAATAATAGTAAGTAGGTAAATCAGGTATCATCACCACCATTTGACAGATGATAAAAGTGGGTTCAAAGAGATTACATCAATTACTAAAGGTAATATTTACTAGCTAATGGAATGGAACTGTACTAGAATTCCCATCTCCTGACACCTAGTCCATCCACAATTCTTGTAATAGTGCTTTGTTACCTATTTTAAACGTCATAAAGTGCACTGAACAAAATGTCTCTTGGAAAAAACCTGAGATTTGCTTGCTCACAGAAAGTAATTAAGATACGCAGCCATTCATATCCTAAAATATTGGCCAAATCCCTCCTATTGTGTTAACCAAAGTGTCAACACTTAGTAGTCACATAAAGTTTAAAAATATCAAACTATCAAACTGAATACAACTTATTGAGAAGTAGGACCAATGTGGATACATTAAATCTACATTTAACTAATAATTTCACGTAATCATTAGTCTTAATTTCGTTTTCAATTTATAAATAATGCTAGATGTCAGCATTATTTGCTACAGCTTTAATTGCTTTGACTTTCACCAGTTTTCCTTTTTTGTTCTGACCTCTGGTGAAATTTAAAATAAGTATACTCATTTCTCAAATGCAGAAAACATAAATAGCAGATGATCTTTAAAATAATTTATATGTGGCTCTGAAATTTCTTATGATTGTTTTCCCCACTGGAATTACTTTTCTCATCGGGTTTCACTTAAGCTAACTTAAGCTAATATTAAACTAAGGTTTTGATTCCTAACTAGGGAACACAGGCCCAGAAAGAGTTTTTATGTTTTTTTTTTTTTTTAAATTTTCCCCAAATAAGCATCATGAAGGTAAGCAAAAAGTAGTCTAAACTGTAATTATTTTTATCTTCATATTTACTATAAGTGAGGAAAAATAGAAATAATAGCCCGAAGGCATTATCCAATTTAATAAAAACTTAACATTCACATTTTTCTAAATCCACTTATACCTGATTAAGGTACATTTGATTGGAAAAACATATATAAAAATGAGCCACATTTAAACAGAAATTATACTTTGAAACCTGAAACAGTGTAATATGGTAGAGATCTGGGTGGGATGGGGGCGTGGGGGGGTTCATCCCCTTTTTCCAGAACTAACTGAACTTGCCCAGGTACTTCACTTTTCTACATCTCAATTTGCCTATTTACAAATTAAAGCGCTACACTTAAAAAGCAATAAAATAAAACTTCTACTCTTTATACCATCAAAATGAGTTTTTACTGTCAGCAAAAGTACACATGATCAAAGTCACATCAAGCACTTAAATATATGCACTTAAATATATAACACATGAGAAGTAGTAACATTTACTACAAGAAACAAAGATTAACGAAGCAAGTTCATGCTTTTTGGCATATTATTACCAAGCTTGGATCTACTGCTACGCCTCGGGATTCAAGATTCTTTCGGACTGTGGTTATCTCATCACTTGCAAGATAAGCTGGGTGTTCCTCATTGCATTTCAACATCTTCTCTAATTCATTCTTGGTTTCATTGTGAACACACTTTAAAATGTTTAAAAGATGAGGTTTAGTTCATGATTTGTTTGGCATACTTATAAAAACAGAGTCCCAATTTTTATAAATATATTGCTATTGCACATGAGGTGATACAAGCTCAATCACAACAAACAAGAAAGAACATAGTGCCTTGGCTTATAAATACAGTGCCACTGGCTTATGAATGCAGAACAACCTGGAATTATTAAAGGGGGGTGGGGGAGAAAGAAGAAAAAAAAAGAATTAGCCCATTTGTTTTATTTCACTTTTGCTAAAATATCTTACTGTCGAAGTTACAGCACCAGGCACCTTACTATATATGCTTTCTTGACTTTAGGGTATGATTTTAGTCTAGGAAAAAGTACCCTGAATACCTGGGAAGAGATAATGTTCTATAAATGCCTCATATCTAACAACTATATAGAAGACTGTAAGGACTTGTGCCTGTTGACATGTCTCTTTTCCGATAAAATAAACATAAAATTCATAGTTTGATTTTTTTAAGCCTTTTAAAAAAAATTGTGCTTTAGACTGCTTCTGTGAGGTGCCTATCATTCTTAAGTTCACTTCCAGTCTCTTCTCTATCAATGTTCATAATCTTTCACCAAAGGAGGAAAACATATACATACTAGTGATAAGTTCAAAAATCAGATTCTTATACAGTGTCAAATTAAGTGTATCTTTTCATTTTTCAATCCTTCTTTCAAAATTGCACAGTAGAAGGAAATAGCTTCAAATTTACTGATTACTGTAAATAAATTACTACCACAGCACTTAGCCCGAACTGTACCAAGCTACAGAATCTGAGTATTTACACAAGAATAACACTTAAACACAAATAATTGGCTTGTAAATGAATCTGCTAGTTCCTAATCTCTGAAAACATGACATTTTAGAAGAAACATTATTTAATAAGAAGAAATTTCACTGTTTCCTTAAACATCTGCTATTTTGTCTGCAGTAGGAAGGAAATCTCTAAATATGATATTCTCCAACTCTTCCTGTCCTGTTTTCACTTCCACCTGTCCACCTGTCCCCACCTCACTTGGTCTTCAGGCCAACACTACTCTCCCAAATATCCTAACCAAGATCTGTGTTAGTTCAGCTCAGACAAGGTGAGAATGTTTCAAAGGGATGGATTTTTCCTAGAAAACTAAGGAAAAAATAACACTACAAAAGCACAAAAGTTTTCAGAGCATGGATTTCTCATCTTTAACACAGGACAATCTTAAGTTTCTATTCCTGCTAAATCCGGTCACTCAAAAAGGCAGGAGGGGGCCAGCGGAGTGGCGCGATGGTTAAGAACTGGCTTGGGACGCCAGTGGGCCCCGGTTCAGATCCCACATATGAGGGCCAGTGACACTGCCCTCTACAAAAAATAAATAAATAAATAAATAAATAAAAAGGCAGGAGGATCTGTTACAGTTACCCTAAACTTGCAATGAGACCTGGAGATATTCTTAACCTTTTCTACGATCTGTTTCTTACTGTAACCTCTCGGTCTAGAACAGTGGTTTTCAACTGGGAGTAGGAGGGTTGGAAAGGTTAGAGAAGAACTTGATTTGAACTCGATTCAATGAGTCTGACGCGAGCCTTTGTTTTAAAAAAGAAAACAAACACTACACGATGGAATATTATTCTGCCATAAGAAAAGATAAAATAGTGCCATTTGCGACAACATGGATGGATCTTGAGATCATTACGCTAAGTGAAATAAGTCAGACAGAAAAAGTCGAGAACCACATGATTTCACTGATATGTGGTATGTAAAAACTGAAAACAACAAAGGAACAAGACAAACAAAGGAAGAAACAAAAATTCATAGACACAGATAATAGTTTAGTGGCCATCAGAGGGTGCGGGGGTGTAGATGAGGATAAAAGGCATCAAATACACGGTGATGGAAGGAGAACTGACTCTGGGTGGTGAACACACAACATGATATATAGATTGATGTATTACAGAATTGTACACTTGAAACCTATGTAACTTTACTAACAATTGTCACCCCAATAAACATGAATTAAAAAAAAAAAAAAAGAAAAGAAAAACAGACCTATACAAACATGTCCCCAGACAATTCTGATGCCCTCGCCTCCACACTCTAAATTACGGCCTCTGCTCTAAAGTAGACTGGGCCTTGCATGCTGCCCTGAACCCTGGAAGGTGAAGGCTCTTCTCTGAAGGGTTCCCATATTCCTCTTCTAAGCGGCAGCTATTTGCATTAACCTTAAAACCAATTCCTCTGCTTCTCTTGAAGGGATCTCCTATGAGTTCAAGTTCCTGAGAAAAATAACTTACAAACAGAAATCCTTTCTGAGAGTGCTTGGCCAAAGCACATTTACCATAAAATTGATAAGTTCTGTTATCATTAATTGTTCTGGGGACTTTAAGCCTAATTTCACTAGGCCTTTAAGGTCAGGCATCATTTTTCTTTGGAGTTTATTTGCCTTACACTGGTTTTTTCCAGTCAAGGCCTCTTCCTGTCTCAAAATCAGAAACCTCTGATAGATCCCCTAGAAGTTCTCTTCTGACAGACCTCTTCCTCTCAGCCCATCTGTAGAGCAAAGATAACTGATAAACCCTGAACACAGGAATAGTCCAGCCACTGACTCTGTCTACTTCTGAAGATTCTCTTCAGCGACTCCATTTTCAATAAAAAATCATATCAGAAAAAAGAGGAAGACTGTCCCTTCACTATTTTAAGACAAATTGGGACTCACATCTGATAGACAGCTTATGAAACAAGAAATGCATGAAATTAGGAAAGATAGGGTATTGATTATATAATTTCCTCTGTATTTAAAATGAAAACAAAAAATAAGAAAATGGGAATAATATGTGATCCAGTAATTTTTTTCATTCTCTTTATCTCCTCTCTCAATATTTCCATATCTTTGTCTCCTTTCTCTAATCACATGGATTCAGAAACAAGAAAAAAAGTGGATTGGATGCCACCTCTTTTTCTTATTCATTAGTTCCTTTATTTATGTATTCTATTTCTATATATTATTTATACGCTTTTTATCTAAGGAATAAAGAATGAGATAGTCGTGTAATGCTGAATGCTAGATGGGAAAAAAAGCCATAACAATAGGGAATGAATAAAAAGAGTGGGGGATGGGGACTTTAATGATTTACACATTTTCCCTCTTACTTGCAAAGTCATTTATTCTTGCCTTTACCATTTTATTCTTCTGAAGGGCTCATTAAATGTAAATACATGAATTCTACAATTCTGCCTCCTGTCTGAATTTTTATACTTATTTTGTGAACACAGGAGCAAAAATTGTAAATGAATAAAATCATCTGAATAGACCACAGAAAAACCCAGAGATAATATAATAGAATGAAGTTTTAAAAAGTTATATCTTTTAGGGTTGGCCGAGTGGCTCAGTTGGTTAAGAGCTCGCTCAAGAGTGTGAGCTTTGAGCAACAGAGTCACTGGTTCGATTCCCACATGGGCCCGAGCTGAGCTGCCAACAGGTGGCAGGATGGCTCAGCTAAAAAAAAAAAAAAAAAAAGTTATATCTTTTATTTTAATCATACTCATTTTACATCCTCTGAAATCCTTATCATTCTTTTTCTTCTTTTTATAACTTTAATCTTCATTTTACCTCAAATAAGGGAATTGAACAAAGAAATCCACCATAAAGGAGGAGTGTTTCATTTCCCCTTTCTTTTAATAATACAGCTATTTCACTTAAAAAAAACCTTTCACTCATAGTTTACTGTTCATTTTAAAGATTCATTATATTTTAGAAAAGTTGACATAAACATTTGAAATTAGATTGGTCTGGAGGAATGCAAAGGTTATATTTTAATGCTTGAATAAAAATTGACAAAATTACATCATTTGTATGATTACATACAAATCATAAGACCAGAGATTTGTTTTTTACCTGTTCTTGGGTCCGATTCTGCCAGTATAACCACCTCTTTTTCCAGTCTGGACCCACCATGTTTTCAATTGCATTTTCGGCTAAAAAAATTTTTTAATTTTTATTAATTCATCAAGAATTTTATCACTTACCAAGTACATAAACTATAACTATAATAGTAATATTCTTGCTCTCTTAACTACTTCAAAGTGACATATCAATATAAAGTTAGTTGAAGTAAAAAAAAATTATATAACTATATGATTGATAGAGCACAAATATAAGAATTTAATTATATGTTTAGAATCTATAAAAAGTACAATTGCTTATAAAGTTCTAATAAGTATAGTAGCAAACACTAAAATAGTTTAAATTATAGCTTTTTAGATTATGAATACATAAACATGTGTCCAATTTATTTAATATTTTTGGTAGTTACTAAGCAGTTGACTGAAAAATCCCACAGATAATATTCAACTATAGTATTAATGACAAAGACCCTAAAATATTAATTTTTTTAACAAATGTTCACTGAAATTGGATAATTTCTTCATCACTGGGAATACTCAAAATTCAATAATCTGTGTCCCTACTTACTATCCTTGAGACGAGCCTGAAGAGCCTCTTCCATAAAATAAATAGCTGCATCCCACTGCTGTTTATCAGATATGGACCGGTCTTCTAAAGCATTGTGTTGAATAACCCTCTGAAACAATAAAGAAAAGAAAACAGCTAATTTGATTTGTGTGTTATCATTTAGTAATTTTACTCAAATTGACAGCTTAGCAAATATCCAAAATAACAGATATACCTAACTAAAACAACATAAAAGTATGTCCCTTCCACAAAAATGCAGGACGTCTTATTATCTGCCTGCTTATTTGTCTGAAAAGCAAACTGGATATTTTCTTCTAGCCCAAATTAAATGAGCTGACCATCTCTAAGATCATGGGCAGGGGAGGCAGGGGGGGGGGGATAGTACACATTTAACTACGTAAAATTCAACACCCAGAACCCTAGTTTTCAGGAGTTAATGATTCAGATAATCTCTACCTCTCTTTTGCCATATGACCTATATATCAGCATTTTCAAAATAGAGAGCAGAAAAAAACACACCATTATCTCACTGGTAACAGCAATGAAAAATGTAATGGAGGGAAGTTTAAAAGGTCTAAGCAACCAAAAGTAAATGTCAGTTATTTATTCTAAGAAAATTAGTTTCCAAATTTTGTAATTCTTGAATGAATGAATGAAAATGACACCATTCTTTCAGAAAGCCAGTCTCAACAAGGCATCTAACAAGAATATAGTTTTCAAATATGAAGACAAATATTCCTTCCAAAAACATTACAATTACGACCAGCCCATAGTCAGATATGCATTTTCCCAGAAAACTGCTTCATCTTATCCTTCAACAGTGCCTCTCATAACTGTCTGAGCAGAGCATGTGCTTAAAAAGGTTTGATTATGGTGATGAGAATGTTCTACATAACACAAGGTTTATCAGGTGGCGGAGGTCAGGAGCCAGGCTTCTTAATTAGACAGAATTCAGCTTGTATCCTAGCTTTGCCAACAACAATAATAGGGCTGCTTAAGAACTAAATAAAATACACAGCAGAATTTCTGGCACCTTGTAAGCATTCAATAAATGGTAGTTAGCGTTATGATTTTAGGAGTCTAACATTTTATGACTCAAATCCACTGAAAACCAATGCATCTAAATTCATTACCATAGATGGTAAAATGAAAAGCAGTTATCCTCTATCAGTTTATGTTAGTGGATGGCAATTTGTTGAAGTTTACAAGAAGCCTGTGTACGGAGAAGTGAAGTTTGGCATTTTTCTGAAATGATAGCCAAAAAAAAAAAAAAAATAGCAGAGGGCAATTATAGGAGAGCAGAGAAATATCAAAGGGTCAATTACAGATTGTAAATCCATTTCTTTTATTATTTTAAATTCAGAATCTAAATAGTCACATAAAAATAGTCTCCTATAAAAGGGTATCAATTTGAGAAACTATATAAATATACGAGGCTGATGCCCTAATATACAAACGACATACCAAGCTGTCCTCTGCAAAATCATTCCACTTGTGGCGTTTAATGCTTTCTTCCTTAACAGCCTCTTTAAGTTTATCAAATATGTCATCATGCTCTTTTCCTTTCGGTTCTGTCATGAAGCGGGAAAATTCTTCTTGTAGGGTTTCCCAAGCAACCTAGAATTATTTAAAAGAAAAAGTTGTATTTATACTATACACTTTTACTTAATATGTAACATGAAAAATAAACACACACATTAAAATCAACTAGATGTGATAAACCAGCTTATCAGAAAATACAGACAAAACCACATTTGAAAAAAAAAAAAAAGTCGGCAAATACAAACTCTGGCCTGGAGAGCCTACAGTGGTAGCTGGTAGGGTAGATTTGACCTCCTGATATATTTTGCTAGTTTTAAACTTTTAAAAATTAGTAGCCAGTATTTAAAAATTAAGAGGCTTCACACACAAATCTATACTTCTGCCTCTCTTGAACTATCTGACAACACGGTACCCTCATTCATACACAGCAGCACCTGCTGAGCTGAACAAGAGCTGCCCCCTTTAGTTGAGGTATGCACTCTGGCCAGCCACCAGACTTAGTTCACTTATTTCATTCTGTACAATACCTGAACTTGCCTGTTTCTGCCACACTGTGAAAGGCTTAAAACTTCTTAATGATTTAGTCTCCTTCATATCTTTACATTTATGCAAATATATGAAACAATGCACCAACAACTTTCAAACATAGCTGAGCATTATGCAGCCTTGTATTACAGTCAACTCCTAATTACCTGAACAGTGAAAGGAGGAGCGGTGTCCAGAGTAGCTAAGAACAAAATCTACTTAAGATCAAGTGGGCGAGTTAATGCTGTATGTTATATTTAGCCTTCTTCATTTTAAACGTTAAGACATCTGGCATAAAGAAAGGTGACTGTCCAAGAATACACAGAGAGGTATTACAATCGATGTTTGCAGCCCTTCAGCAGGTCCACATCCTTCTACCACAGCCAGGTGTGTAGGGGAAAGCAGCAGGAGACAAAACTATTACTGTTTTTAGGACCACTTCTCCTGTTTGAACCCTAGGATATAAAAATACCCTATTAGGAGACAGGGCCCAGAAGAATATTAGGACCAGAGGGGCGGAGAGCTAGTAAAGTAGTAGCAGCAGCTCTATGTGCAGCTTAGGTAGAGCGGCTGTCAGAATTCCTGGAAAGGAAGGCTTAAGGAACTGAGAACAAAGGAAGAAGCTACGACCGGAGCAGGATAGGAAAGGGGTGAAGTACACCTGAAAAATCAGAAACAGACATTTTGTTTCTAAGGTAGGTATGAAAAATTATTTTTTAACACTGATTCTAATTTTGTGAGCACCCTCACACAGAAGCACAGGACACACTGACTCTCAGCTAGAACAATCATTCTCAGAGTAATATGCATGGCAGATCAACTTGAACTACGGTCACCATCATCATAACAGCAGCTGGCATTTACTGAGCAGTTACCAAGGACCAGGTATTGTCTAAGTATTTCACATATATTAACTCATTTACTCCTCATAACAATCTATGAGGTAGGCAATATTATCATTCCTATTTTACAGATGAGACAACACAAAGTTTAAGCAACTAGTCCAAGGATGACCCAGGTGCTAAGTGGTGGAGCCAAGATTCGTGAGTAACAGAAATGCATTCTTTAAGGGACCTTCTTATACTTGTAATACCAGTCTAACCTTCTGGCAGGATCTTAACTAAGGAAATGATTATTTAAGTATAATTGAGCCTTGCAGAAAATCACTAAATTAAATGTTTCCTCGATTAAACATTTTTCTTATGAAATCTCTATCCACAGAAATAAGTAAAAAATATTTCACATTCAAGCAAATGTTGCTGGCTTTGTTCAATGCTATCTGTGGCTAGCATTTGAAAGAAGAACCAACATCCTCAGACCAACACCATACCAATTAGTAAATTTTTTAACAGTAGTAGCTGGTAGCAGCATTAAGGTAAATCCCAACACAAAATGAGAAATAAAGAATAAATGGAGGATAAAGACCAAAAAGAAAGATAGTGGCTGGCATGGGCTTAAAACCTAAAATTCACAGCTCCTACTCCCTTCAGATAATGCTTCTTACCCATTTAATTAAATTATATCCTAACCTCTACTGCTTTATTAGGAAGCTGTTTATCAGTCCACTGTTTAAGCTTGATATCCACTGTCGTATTAAAAGTGCCTGAATTCATGGTCTGTGCAGCTGGAAGATAGATGTTTTCAATCACATGAGTTGATACTCTTTCCCACAAAGATTGCTGAAGGATTTCCTCCCTGAAATCAAAAACAGTTTCAAGAACACCAAATTTAAATATTAAGTTTTTAAAAAAGAACTTTATTAAAGTATCATTAACTTACAAGAAATAGCATATATTTAAAGTTTTGACATATGCACACACCTGCGCGTTACCAGTCAAGATAAAGGACTTATCCATCATCCCCAAAAGCTGCAACCACCGGATCTGCTTTGTCACCACAGATTAGTTTGTATTTTCCATAATTTTTTATAAATGCAATCATACAGCATGATATTTTGTCTGTCTTCTTTAGCATAATTATTCTGAGATTTATCGATGTTGGGTATACCAATATTTCACTTCTTTTTATTGCTGAGTAGCACTCCATTACATGAAATCTGTTTATTTATTTGCTTGCTGATGGTCATTTGGGTTGTTTCAACCAGTTTTGTCCATTACAAATAAAGCTGCTATGAGCATTCATGTACAAGTCTTTGTACACACTTATGCTTTTGTTCCTCTTGGGCAAATGTCTACAAGTGGAATGGCTGGTCATATGGTAATTATATATTTAACTTTTTAAAATATTGCCAAACTGTTTTCTAAAATGGTTGGACCGTTTAACATTCCCAATAGCAGAGTATGAGAGTTGCAGAATCTCAGCATCTTGCCAACTCCTGGTATAGTCCTTTTAATTTTAGTCATTCTAATAGGTTTATAGTGGTATCTCATTGTGGTTTTAATTTGCATTTCCCTAATGACTAATAATAAGCATCTTTTCATTGGCTTACTTGCCAAATATTTATACATACTTTGTATGTATTGACTGTGAAATGGAGTCCAAGGCTGAAAACTTCTTGGTATAATTTTAACAATTTATCAGACCATAGCACAGAGCACAGAGACATTATGGGATATTGCTAGGTAAAACTGTTCAACACTTCATGATTAAGGTAACAATATAAAAGATGCATAATCAAAAGTTGAAAATTCAGCCTTAAAAGACATCTTACATGACACAGA